CTTAAATGAGTTTATGAACAAATACTTAGCAAAGATCTTTTTTGTGTTGTCTCTTCATATGTCTTTGGTCATTATGGATAATATTTATTTTCTAAACTTCCGAATGGCTTTTTGTAAGCTTGTGTAAATTCTTTGAATATAGGAGAAGAAATGGAGGGAGGGAAGGGAGGAAAGAGGAAGTAGGGAATCATATTATTCTTAAGAATCACATTATTTCCCAAGTCAGGGTAACATCTGTAGGTTGTTTTCCTAAATAAAATTCATTTGCATAATATTTCTGCTACAATGTTTGAATGTGCCCATTTATTTCAGATGTAGCAAGATTAGGATGACCAGTATTGGCTTTTACTTGTGTGCTTCATCTCTGTTTGTATTATGTAGAAAACACTTTGGATAGCAAAGTCTTCAGAAGTCAATCTTAGCATCTAAGTAAATTGTTACCTGTTCCTTTTACTTTCCCATAGCACAGTATTCTTTATCCTGGAAACTAAATTTCTATGCCTAGGCATTATTTTTAAGAATCTGTGTTATCTTTACAAGTGTTTTGAATTCCCTGGTACACATGTTAATTCTTCCTGTTGCTTTCCTCCTCAGAATGATCTGAAGGTGCTATTTACATCACTGGCTGACAACAAATACATCATTCTGCAGAAACTGGCAAATGTGTTTGACCAGCCTGTGGCAGAACAAATAGAGGTATTTACAGAGCTGCCTTTTCCTACAATAGCAAGTGCATAGAGGAGATATGATTTACTGTGACATTCTAAATATTTTGTGAAAGATTAATGGCTTACTATAGCATTTTTGTTTGTCATATTTTTGATTTTGAGTACTGGATTTGAATAACATGCCCAGTGACATTCACAGAATTAGGAAATGTGAGATAGGAAAAGGTATCTATGACAGACACTGACCTGAAGGAGTTTGCCTCTAATGATGAGATTAGACATGAACCTCAATAACAGAGGGCAGAAAGTCAGACTGTCCTGGGAGAGGTACAAAACACCATAGACGTTCAGAAGGGAGTGGCTTCCCTCCAGCAGGGAATGACCAGGGAAGGCATTATAGAGGGAGATTTGAACTGAACTTGGAAGTGTGGACACACGGCAACTGGGAAGGAAGGTCTCAAGGTAAAGAGGGCAGCAAGAACAAAGCATAAGCATTAGACAATTCCGACCACTTAGGGAGAATCGTAGGTGATCCTATTTAGCTGCATTTAGGATGAATGAGAGTGATTGAGGGTAAATAAGATTAGATGTGTAAATTCGCGGCAGCTTCTAAGGCCTGTTGAATGTCAGAGAGTTTGGTCTCCACACTTTATTGATTGCATACCCAACTGGCTAAATAAAGAAATAAGCACACACCACAAATGTATGTATATTTACTTATTTATAAATTTTAAGTATTAATAGTATGTTTTCTCATAAAACATACGCAGAAATGAAAATTAAAAATGACTGAGGTTGAATATAAATGCAAAATGTAGTATTTCATCCTGATAGATCATCTTGTGCACTTTTGGGTACTTACACTCGCGTTGCAGATCCCTGGCTGTGGAACGTCACTGGGGATGTTTGAGGGCAGGAATGAATGTAAGTTCCACATCCTGCTTTGGGTGGTTTACGTGACAGCACCGAAGTCAGGAAACGTGATCCATCATGAGGTCTCATGTGGCTGCACTGTGTGACAATGAACGAACTTGACCTAGCATAGTGACGGTGAAAATGAGGAGCGAAAAAACGGAAGGGATGGTAGAATACTTCCTGTTTCATAAGCTGAGTAATTATGGAAAGTGTTTGTTTTAATAGAATTTCTTAACCTAATTTCAGTGGACCCTTAAGGGATATATGAGTACACTATAGAGAATTACCTGAAATAGAGATCACCTGGGGTGTGTGTGTGTGTGTTTATGTATTTTGTATGTGTAAAATAGAGAGGAAGAGTCACCTAAAATAGGTTGCAAAACTATACATGAATGTCATCTTTCTTCACTATAATTTCATCTGCTTTTTAAAGAGATTCCTCATTTCCTCCCAATTAAAAATAATTTTTGATGTCATATCTTCCACATGAAAGGACCTTTTTTGGGGGGTGTTATAATGTGTGTGATTCCAAAAAAATGTCACAGATAAATAAATAATTAGATTTTTTCTTTGAATAATGGAAAGCTACTAATGAATGTGCTAATCCCACCCACACCCAACTTGGATTAAAAAGGCAATAATAGTAGAAGGCATAGGGGTGACACCCCTCACTCACTATGTTCATCTCTTGAGACACCTTGTCTCAATCTAGAACAGATCTGTTGCATCATAAGCCTTGTGCACAGTTGTTTTCCTAGGATCTCCCCCACCACGATCCCGAGAATCCCTTCATTCCTTCCTATTTTGGATCTTCTCTTTTCTGAGCCCCAGGTCTTTCTCTTTTATACATTGCTTCTGTGCTTGGCTAGTGCATATCCTCCCTAAGAAAGGGAGAATGGTAGCTACATTTTTCAAGATGTTGTGTGTCTGAAAATGTTCTTATGCCATGTTTTTTTTGATAGCTTGGCTCTTTATAGACATCCAGGTGGGAAATCAATTCTTCCAGAGTTTGAAGGCTTTTACCCTATTTTCTAGCTTCCAATGTTGGCTTGAGGAAACTAAAAACCATTCTAATTCTCAAAGTTCTCCAGTGTTCTGAAATTTCACAATCATGTGCCTTGGGGAGGGTCTGTTTCTATCCACTGGGCTGGGGCTCGATGGGATCTTTTGATTTGGCCACTCCCATCTTTCCATTCTTGAAAATTTTCTACTGATTTATTTAATATTTTTCATTCCTCCATTTTATCTGTCTCCCTTTCTGGAGAACGCCTATTAATCAGATACTGGCTATTCTGGTACAGTCCTCCAATGTTCTTATCGAGAGAGACCTTTCTCTCTTTGTCTTTTGCTCCACTTCCTGGGACACTGCCTTGATTT